GCCCTCAGCACTTGCACTGCAGGCTGAGATTCTGCTTGTCATCCATCAGAACAGCACCTTGTATAAGGACTTTTCATCCCTTTTTTTTTACCCAGACCATGCTCCAGGGCAACTCACTTCACAGCTCAAGCAGAAAAGCCAGCTCCATGGAGTTATGGGGGGGGAATGGGGCCGTCAGGATACAGCAAAACAGTCAATTCCATGGTACAAATGGTGAATCCTTTGATTCTTGGAAAAATAAATACTATGAAATTTTCTACTAAGTTGATTGCAGGTGAACCTGTAATTAATAGGAAATATCTCCCTCAAGGCTATCACTAGAAACTGCGCAAAGCTATTTTGTGCAAAGTACTTGCTTAACATTTCAAATCAGTCCAACCAAATTATAACTGACTGATGCTATGATTCCATTTCAATCAGTGTAATCTGAAAGATTCAAGTGGAATTCTTAATAGCACCCACAGGATCTACAAACACTGATACATGGGACACATTACAAGAAGAGGATGGAGTGATCTCCTGCAGCGTGACTGAAAAAGTTATTGAAAAAGTGAACTTCTTTCCTGTATTCGATTAAGAACGGTGTACAATACATAGAAAGTGGGTCTGAGGCTCAGTTTTACATTTGGCTTCAATATTTGCAGAAGTGTGTCATTATGGATGACATCTGGCTTTTGCAGGACACATTTAGGAGCATTTCCAACAGGGAACAAATTAATTATATACTTACAGCACGGGGTGTTTGCTCTGCTCACAAGCTGAGGGAACGCAAAAATAGCCGACAGGTCCACTTCAGGACTTTGATCCTTTTCTTCGGTCTGGTCAGCCCAAGGCACTGATTTTTGCCTTTGAATAAGCTGCTCAACCTCCCCAAACTCAGTCTCAGCTGAATCATTTGTCAGCCCAGCTTCTTTCAAAGTCAGGTATTGCTTGCGAAGAACTGGAAGCAAAGTATTTAGAACTCTGCAAAACAGCAAGAGGCAAGACAAGTTTGCTTCAGAAAACACAATTCTTACCCAGAAAAAAAAAAAAATCATCTTGCTTCTGTTTCAATTTAAATGGAATTCTCTGAATAGGTCTTCTGAAGTTATAAGTGTCAGAACATAAAGTCTTATCACACCTGCCACAAAACCATACTTACTTTTCTGTTTGCTTGTAATACTGATCTTGAAGGGACACCAGAGCCAACATGTGCTTAATCTGGGCTTTCAGGTCCTGAACTTCCAGGTTTAAATGGTAATACTGCAGATCTGGACGAAGTTCCTTTAGGAAATTAGGGGAAAAAACCCACAAAAGTCAAACAACTGCACATCAGACTGGTAGGGAAAACCCAAAATCTAAGCTAAAGGTAATATTAATTCAGCCAATATTGAAAAGTGAATGGGGAGTAGAGCTATGTTATTATATTGAAGTTTTATGGCAGAAAAAAGTATGAATTGTTTGATTTCTAATCATATGCATAAGTATTGCTTTGTACATTCCTTTGACCAGTGGTGGGTGTGCTGCAATTCGCATTAAGAATCCAGCAGGCACACGTGCATGCCTATCTATGCAAGCCCAAAGGTATGTTTGCCTTTTTTTTGTGTACTCACACACTTTATTTCAGTTATTAAACTGTTTTTAACTCGTAGGTTTTACCCTTTTTCCAGTTCTCCTCCCCATCCCTGACCCTGACAAAGTAAAAGGCATTTTACCTTTGGAGTACACCCATCTCGACCCAGAAGATGCATCTCGTTTTCAACACGGTGCAGCCATTTGGTATTTTCCTCAAAATGTTTGATCTCCTCTTCTTTTTTCTTCTGCATGTGCACAGAGTGGATATTAAGCACTGCCAGCCTTTGATCCCTCTTGCAAGTTAACCTTTCAAACTTTTAACAACAGTTTTGTTGGGTTTTTTTGGTGGGTTTTTTTTTTTTGGTGGGTTTTTTTTTTTTTTTACATACCTCTTTCTTCTGTTCGTTGCAAATTTTAACATACTGGTTTATGTGACTGTCCACACTAACAGCATTGTTCTTCAACTGTAAAGAAACAAGTTAGAACTTAAGGTGGCTCCTTAAGGTTTTCATGCATAATAAATACACTGTGTATAATTACTACATAGTCAGATATACACTGTATTATGAGGAAAGGGATGAATACAATTCTGACTTGCACAACCAAAGGATGACTCTCAGCTTTTGCTGTCACCTGCTGTGCACCCATGGCCAGGTCATTTCGCTCAACAGAACAATAAAAAGTAATTACATTTACATGTGCAAGCACATTTTGCATTTATTCAGGTTAGTTTGACCACTTAATGTGTATCTTGTAGATTTTACTATAAAAACTATCTTTAATTACGCAACAAATGGAAACTACAGTGAACCCCATATTACATAAAAGCAATTAGGAACTGCAATAAAAAAGGTGATGAAAAAAATCAAAACAACAGAGAGCAGAAGACAGGACATTCTGGTGGCTTTTCATTTATCAATATAATCTCATTGAACTTCTTGGTTTCAGTTGAATTCTACTTGTAACAAACCTGGACTGGCTCTTGTACAATACAGACACATCTTTGACATACTTTACAGTTCTTCAAGAAAGTAACAACAAGATACTGAAAACAAATGTGAATTCCACCAGCTGAGGTTTTATTTCTAAATCTCACGCTCACTAAAACTATTTCAAACTGGCAACGTCTTCTCATTAATGAAGTTGTGTTGCTTTGAGGCCAAATCTGGCATCTACTCTGTATCTACTACACCTATCACTCAGATAAGAAAGAGGCGACTGTAAGAGAGAAGAGATAACTGAACAAAATTGAGGCAAAATAAAGGAAAATATAACATTCTGAAAGAAATAATTCTCCTCCTCTTAACACTGCATTATTATACTTTGACAACAGATCAACAAACACAGATATACTCACGGAAGGCTTGATATCCTTGGCTCGGCTGGCATACCGAAGAGTGTTATAGGTATCATCGTAGAACAGAGAAGATGGACTAACAGCAGCTATCATGACTGTCCGGCAGTTTCCTCCCAGAGAATCCTTCAACAGGCGGGTGAGCTTGCTGTTCCGATAAGGAATGTGCTTCTTGCACTGAAAAGAGTTGCACACGTTTTTATGGACTAGTCAACTGTAGTTTAAATAAAAATCCACTTCGATTTTCAGCAATGCCACAAGACATGACAAGCAGTCATGAAACTTTTCTTTTCTTTGACCTAAACAAATTTTTTTTTTTTTAAATTACCTGTACATCTCAAACAGTTTAAGTCTCTTGAGGTTGTTTAATACCTTTACAACGTGTGCATTAGATAAGTTACTTTCTGATGTCTGGATACATAACTGTTATTTTTGTCATGGGGCAACCAACAGAAAAGGCAAGATACATTAAACTACTTTCAGTTCACTTTGGGAAGGACTTGTAAGATCCCTCCAGTTCAATCCCTCTGCTCAAGCAGGGGCAGTTAGAGCAAGATGTCAAGGACTATGTCCAACTAGGTTTTCATTATCTCCAAGGATGGAGATTCCACAACCTTTCCAGGCAACCCAACTCTGCTGTGTGAAGCTTTTTTTCAAGCACAAGCTTTTTGTCTCATTTGTCTCATGGTGCCAAGTTAGGTCACTAGGAACCCAATCCCTCACCAAATAAATCAACATGAAGAATTTTTCTTATGCCCATGGTCCAGATTTTAAACTCCTCCTTTCACTCCAACAAGATGGTGATGAGAATTTTACGGCACCAGGAAGGGAAATAAAAGCTTTGATCCTTTACTCCTGGCATATGTGAAGGGGCAATTTGCCAGTTGCCCAGAAGGACAAAAAGAGTGTCGTGGTAGACAATGGTCTTGACTTAGGCAAAAGTTCGGGTTTTGTCATTATCCCACACGATTGTACCTCCTCCTTCCCTTGAGCTGGTGAGCCAGATCAGGAGGCTGCTTTGAGCAGGGTATGTGTGTGTATATATGTAAGATCACAAAAGAACAACTTGGAATAGGTGCTGTTTTATCCTTTAAAAGTTTCTTCCCCTGAGATTAAGGATTATTTGTAAGGCTATTCATTTACTCATAAAAGCTTCTCTACATATGCTTGGTTTTGAACAAGGTGGGTAAGAAAAGCAAGTACATTCATCTTTGACACTATCCTTAGGTAGATGCACACTATTTTTGAGAACTCTTTCTCATTGGGAGTGTCTTTCAGCTATCAGAGAAGATGGTGGAAACCTTCAAGGCAATCTTAAAGGAGCAGCATCAACAATGTAATTCCCATTATTCAACCAGCTTAGCATTTTAAAAAAAATGTCACAACACTAGGAGGTGAAGCCTGCACGGGAAAGCAGCACATACAAACCTTTGGATCCGCCAGTGCATTAATGACATTTCCAAGAGCAAGCAGGGAGCGGTTAATGTTTGTTCCTTCCACGAAACGAGCCCCCCTGGCACTGGTTGCACTGGCACGTTCAGATCCTGCCAGGTCAATGAGGGACATTTTGGCGATCCGAACATTTTGATTAATGTTGGCAGTTTTATCTTGCTGCTGTAGGTAAATCTACGATTAAAAAAAAAAATTAAAAGTAGCCACTAATCAGTCTAAGCAGTAAGTTACACAATAAAATTAACAACTGTTTTCAGAAATCCTTATCGGAATCCTTCTCAAAATCCGAGATAAACCTTTTTGTAAATATCTAACACAAGCAGGCAGCTTGGCCCAATGGAAAAGAGCAAGCCCATTTCTGACACCTCTTAAATTCACTTGTGTCAGGTGTCAGTAAGGAAAAAGAAGCAGAGTGTAGTTACACGGAGTTTGACTGGAGTTAAATTTCTGCACAGCAGCCTGTACGGTGCTTTCAGATTTGTGACCCAGTCAGTGCTGATGACACTGTGGTGATCAGATGCTGCACGGTTGTCAAGGCAGTCTTTGCGAGAGGTTGCAAGAAAACAGCTGACCCCAACTGATGGAAAGTTTCTCTGATGTAGCCCTTGCTTGAGGGATGGCTGACCATCAATCTGATGGTGGCAAGTGATTGTTCCCTCCCCTACTTCCCTTTAGTTAAGTGAACCACAAGGTTCACAACCCCCTCGCTCTTGCACTTTTGATTCTCTCCCCCATTCTGCTGCAGAGGATTAAGTAATCAACTGGCTTACAACAGCAGCAAAGATTAGTGAGGTTTTTTTTTACTCTTTACAGGGCAAAATGAATTTCACAGCTAAAACAGCTCTTGATTCTCCATCACTTAACATGTATATCACACTATTGTACTTTAAACTGAAAGGGGTGTTCGTTTTTTAAATGCACATTTAGGAGCATGCAATAAAGAAATGTATACGGGTAAACCAGGAAAAAGGCTGGACTTTCAGGGACTTAGACTCAATTGTATCTACTGTTAATAGGAAAAAAATACTTATTTACTGCTGTGAAAACACAGTCCAGATCTTTTGGAATATGGTGCCCCCCGAGACCACTTGTTCCCCTTCATCCCATTTTTCCTGAAATTTTGAAGGTACAGGAGATGTACAAGGAACTAAACACTTTTGCTTCCTTCTGCTGGTGAAGGTATTCTTTCCTCAGGTTTATAAGAAAGTAGGCAGAGCGTGATTAAATAATATATATATATAAATAGTTATCCTTAGATGGCTTTTACTTTTCCAGAATTCTCCATAAGTTTTCCCTTCTTTTGTGCTGAGGGGCTTGCCATTTGTTAATAAGGCTATTGGTTACTCACCCTTTCATGAACACACTTCTAGACAGTCAATTAGGGAAGAGCTGCCATGCATGAGGCAATAAAGACAATATCTCTCTAGTTCTGTAGCTTTAAGCTTTGTGCATGAGAAATGGAGTCTTCACAGCACTTTATAACAGGGAAAAATTTGACAAGTATTCTGAGTGAATCAAATACTTATGACTTGCCACGAAATGTATCTGTTCCAAATAGATATATTTCTATATCAAACAGTACAACTAAGTACAGTTGTACTATTTCTAGTACAATAGACAAAATACCCCCAACCTTAGGCTGGGAACACTCAGTCAGAACAACCCAGTAACTATCATTAGTGAAGCAGGGAAAGGTGGAGTGACAGCCAGACTATGTTGTACGACTCAAGCTTTTGTAAAAATTCAAAAGATACAGGAAATGCCCCAAAGCAGGAACTTTTCTGTTTCTTTGTCAGTCAGCAGAACACTTTCAATGGAACAGTGTGGCAATTTGGATTTTACTTTCAGATGCAGTAATTGCCTGACCTAGATAGATATTTCAAACACAAGACAGACGGCACGGGAAGGCGAAACTTGCATCTCTAAAATCAGCTCTGAATGTCCCGGGCCAAGACTTTTATCAGTTTCTGACAACATCCTCCTCCAATAAGGTAAACAAGAAAAGCCAAAGCCAGCATAAAAGATAAAGCATATCTCCACAAACAAACAGATCTTAAAATAATAGAAAAAAGCGCTCAATCTAGACAACACTGGGGATTTCTCAACACTCACATCTCTGGAACCAAAGACACAAATCTGTTATGCAGAACATCACAGATGTGTCGAAATACATGAGAAATTGAAGTGATTTATTTACTTGTTTGCCACTTTCAGAAATGTACTGAGAAGAATGCAAAGCCTGCCACATAATACAACCCAGAGCTTTTTTCCTGAGTCAAGGGGAGGGAGATAAGACCCCCCAGCCCAGCAAGTAAACAAACAGAAATCAGCAGTTCACCCTGGTCTCTCTGCAGCACTGTACCTTGTGCCTTTTTAAAGGCAGAACACACACACACAACAATGAACAACTTCAGAAGTCTTGGTATGGCCATGTGCACTGTACAACCACGGGCAAGACCTCAGGGGAAATTAAAAAACAGGCAGGGCAATTTCAAACAGAGGTTTAAGGTATATAAGAAAACACAGAAGCTTCCTGAGAGGCAATGACTCTTGCTCTTTTACTTTTGGCTACTGTTTTTAAGCATTGCCAAAGTCTGCAGACACAGTTAAGAACTGCCCAACAGTTAAATGCTGTAATGCAAGGATGTCGTGGTTTTGCCCTGGCTCAATTTACTTTTACACCCCCCATACAATTGCTGTTAGTTGAGAGAAGGTTTATGCAGACAAAAAGAGACTGAATTGGAAAACAAGGTATGAGTATTTATTATTAATAAGCTAAAACTAAAGAAGTATATCTACAACAATTCTACTTAAGTAAAAGGTATTATGTATTTACAGAAGCTACTTCTCCCCCCACCTTCTTTTATATCAGTCCAAGGAGGAGAAGCAGTCCTTTTCCATTCTCGGAATTCCAGCTCTCTCTCTCTCTCTCTCTCTCTCTCCAGTAACTTTGCAGCACTCTCGTCGCAGCTGGAATTCCTTTATCTCCCTCTCATTCTGTGTTGGCCTCCAGGGCTGGGTCTACCCCCTTTCTGGGTTAAAACCGAAGCCTGGGGGTTACCCAGGTCCTGAAGGGTTTCCTTCCATAGGCTTGCAAGGGGACACTTGCTTACTATGGATCTTCCTTTGTCTCCCATAAGATACTCCTGGAAAAGCTGGCAGCCCACGGCTTGGACAGGGGCACTCTGTGCTGGGTTAAGAACTGGCTGGAGGGCTGGGCCCAGAGAGTGCTGGTGAACGGGGCTGCATCCAGCTGGGATCCAGTCACCAGTGGTGTCCCCCAGGGATCAGTGCTGGGCCCAGTCCTGTTTAACATCTTTATCAATGTTTTAGATGAGGAGATTGAGTCCACCATCAGCAAATTTGCTGATGACACCAAGTTGGGAGGGAGTGTCAACCTACCAGAAGGCAGGAGGGCTCTGCAGAGGGACCTGGATAGACTGGAGAGATGGGCTGACTCCAATGGGATGAAGTTCAACAAGGCCAAGTGCCGGGTCCTGCACTTTGGCCACAACAACCCCTGCAGCACTACAGGCTGGGCACAGAGTGGCTGGAGAGCAGCCAGGTAGAAAGGGATCTGGGGGTGCTGATCGACAGGAGGCTGAACATGAGCCAGCAGTGTGCCCAGGGGGCCAAGAAGGCCAATGGCATCCTGGCCTGCATCAAGAACAGTGTGGCCAGCAGGAGCAGGGAAGTGATCCTTCCCCTGTACTCTGCGTTGGTGAGGCCGCACCTTGAGTATTGTGTTCAGCTCTGGGCCCCTCAGTTCAGGAAGGACATTGAGGTGCTGGAGCGGGTCCAGAGAAGAGCAACCAGGCTGGTGAAGGGACTTGAGCACAAGTCCTATGAGGAGAGGCTGAGGGAGCTGGGGTTGTTTAGTCTGGAGAAGAGAAGGCTCAGGGGTGACCTCATCACTCTCTTCAACTACCTGAAGGGAAGTTATAGCCAGGTGGGGGTTGGTCTCTTCTCCCAGGCAACCAACAACAGGACAAGGGGACATGGGCTCAAGCTCTGCCAGGGGAAGTTTAGGTTAGATGTTAGGAAGAAATTCTTTACAGAGAGGGTGATCAGGCATTGGAACGGCCTGCCCAGAGAGGTGGTGGATTCACCATCCCTGGAGTTTTTTAAAAAGAGATTGGACATGGCCCTTAGTGCCATGATATAGCAATTGGAGTTGGATCAGGGGTTGGACTTGATGATCTTGGAGGTCTTTTCCAACCCAATCTATTCTATGATTCTATGATTCTATGATTCTTCCACAGGGTTACAGGGGATAATGGTTTAAGAGTTCACCCCTGTTTCCCTATGGAGGTCCCTCCCCATGGGAGAACAGTCCTTGATTGACTTCTCAGCATGGGTCTAGTCTGGATCCCTTACTCGCATCCCAACATCCTACCTGAGCCGTCTTCTGCTCCAGTGTAGGTCCTCATCCCCCTCAGGGTCACAAATCTCCAGCACCAGCAGCATGGATCTCTCACTGAGATCCCAAGCTTATCTGAGCCGTCTCGCTCCAGCATAAGCATCGTCCCCTTCGAGGGTCACAAAGTCTTTAACAGGACTCTGCCTCATCTGAGCCACTCCTGCTCCAGCATAAGGCTTTCTCTCTGTTAAAGTCACAAATCTCTGGTGCATCCACAAGCTCCTCTGTGAGCCGCACGGGGGTCTCTTCACCCCAACAAACTTTTACAAGTGGCAGGGATTTTATTTTTCAGTCTTTACCCTGCTGAAGGGAGGGAGAGCGAAAGGGAGAAAAACAGCAGCTCTCCCCCCTTCGAACTTTTCTTCTCTCTCCTGCAACTGCCAGCTTTGACCTTGAAAATTCTGTTATCTCATGGCTGGAATTCTTCTGCAGCGGTTTCTCGTCTAAGCAGTTCGTCTTTTAAACCTTTTTTTCTTCACTCTTTTACAGAAGAGAAGAGAGGCTTCAGTGCCTCACCTGCCCCGCCCCGGCCCAAGCCGGGGAGGAGGGGGCCTTGGCCCTCCTCGGGCCCGCTACCCTTCTACATGGCTACTGTTCTTAATTTCAACTGCGCCACAACCTTCTCTTCCGTTTTCTTAAAGATGTAATTAGCAAAGGCGTCACTGAACTTTTTGATTGGTTTTTTTTTTGTCCAGAAATCCCTTGGACAAAACCATCCTCAGCCCCAGGGATGGGCTGGTGGGCAAAACCATGACAAAGGACCAGAATAAAATTTAATATTTTTCAACCCAGAGTGGCACCATATACAGTTAATGGGACTAGTTTTTAAATATTATTTCTTTTTGAATATCACAGGTTGTATTTAAGAGGAGTCAGAGGGTAGCACACAGCAATAATCTTTGGAGAAGTCTTAAGTTCTAGCAGATTTATACAACTCATTCAAAAATTCATTTATGGAAACTAAGAATCATCAATTCATTTTCTAAAGCTTGGTACATACCAGAACATTAAGAAATCACTGTAACATAAAAATTAACATTAAGCAAGATAAGTACAGTGAGAAAGTACTACTTGAGATTCTCAGTTTATAGCCAGACATGTAAACTGCATTCTGTAAATTATTTTTCCTACAGAAATTCTGAGCAATATAATGAAACCATAAAGAAACAAAAAATATCACCAATAACTTTCAGTTTATAAGATTACAATATGGAAGTATATTCCAAGCTCAAAATTATCATTTTTCAGAAAAGATATTTCTTCTAAGGCATATAAGTTAAGAAGTCATAAATATATTATATATATATATATATAATAAGTTCAAACTATTGGAAATAGAGACGTTTTCATTGAATTCATTATTTGAAATACAAACACTGTGATCCTTTACATCAAGAAGTCAACAAGAAAACTGGAAAACTTCAAACCCCTCTCACCCAAATGAAGGCTCAACACAGTTTAAAAACAAAAGCTTCCACTATATCCAACTTTAAACAAAAACTGCAACTCACAGTAATGACCACTGTACACCTACTGTGTCATCTTACCTGAAAGACAGCATGGGACCGGGAAGAGGAGGCATTCGTGTGTGTGGGATGCTGAGTTCTATTTTTATTTCCATAATCCAAGATCTGAAGGATTTCCTCTGCTGATTTAGGCTTTAATAACAAGACAGAACAAGATAAATACACTTGTTTTCCTTTTTTATCAACTATAGGAGATTCCACAATACACTAACATTCACCTTCATAAAAAAAAAAAAAGGAACTTAATGTTTTAGTTACCTAGAAATAAGAGAAATTTTCCTGTTTTGAAATTGAGGCACTTCAAACAAATATTCTCCACTAAAAAGCAGTAATGTATGAAAAGCAAGCACTTAACTGCAGAAATTTAGATCAGAGAATATCTTTACTAAAGAATTTAAACAAATCTGAAAAGGTCCTCCACAGCCAGAAGAAGCCTCATTTAAGAGTGTCTGACCCAATTCTTCTTGTACTAATGCATTAAACAGTGATATACTAAATTTTTTTCCCCCTCCCTCGCCAGACTCCAGGTTTTGAAAGCATGATGTTCACAGAGCAAACCAAACTAGGAACGCTGTTTCCTGTCAATTCATTCCACGAACACAAAATCTGGAAGCTACATAGCATGTAACATACACTAAAAGCCTACAAAAAAAAAAATTAGGTCCACGAGAACTGACTACCAGATTGCAAAACTGACTCTGCCTTCATTGCCATCTTGGAGTGTTCTACACTAGTGGGAAGTCTCAGGGTTGCTTCTGTTTTTATAATAAGCATGTTTGAAAAGTTCCACGTTAAACTGCTTTTCCAGGACAGCATAGCAATTCTCTGGCAATGATGCCAAGATGCTTTAGCTGAAAAACAAATCTGCCAAAACCTGGTGGGTGACAATAAGGACCGAATGCTTTATTTATTTGCATTCAATAACATCAGCAGTTTATTCCACAATGTGCATTTGACTAACTAGTTAAGTTTGCAAGTTACTGGCCAGAAAAAAAGCCCACTAGGAAATTACCAAATTCCATACAACTCTCACAGAACTACGGGAACTTTCTCAAATTTCTGAAGCACATTGTGAGTTTCTGTATGTGCTGACATACCTGATGCAATGTCAGACCTTGAACTATCACCCCTTGCCGGGCATCTTCACGAACAGCCAGAGGTCCAGAGCTGACCAGCAGATCACGTATCTGTTCGTTGTAAATCTTTGAAAGAGAATTTAAAAGTATTTTACTAAAATCATCCTCCCATACTTGACTGAATTAAACTTAAATAAACAGAAATCGCTAGTCTTTTTTAATATTTCTTTAAGACAAAGCAACAAATTCATGCTGTAGATCTTTTTCTAAACAGCTTTCCTATACTGAGCTTAAAATATTCAATGTGCACGATTTCTTTTAAGCCATTAAGGTACATAATTTTTTTCTTGTAAATAACTTTTATTCCTTATTAAAAAAAATTACCCTTTTTTTTTTTTTTTACAAAAAAAAATGTTTTGCAACAAGCATGAGTCCAAAGCATTTATTTTCCTTTTTTCTCTTCTCCTTCTCCCCCTCCCAAAACACCAACTATTCTTCCACTAAGAATTTGAGGGAGCTAGAAAATAACAATTTTACTGCTACCACTCAAAAGCAGTGCCAAGACATTGACCCGTAAAAGCAGAACATCATTTTGTTGTACAATTTCACAGTACTTATAGGATGTTATTGAAGTCCTGAGATCCAACCCTGGTGTTCTGTTGTACACAACAGCAGATGTTCAGAGGGATGTAACTGATCGGCAAGACACAAATTATGAGAATGTTCAGTGAATATATTAGAAGTGATTGTTCTTGTTGGGCAGCCTTCTAATAAAATAGGGACAGGTGCCTTTGAACAGCAAATTTGGCAGAGCACAGTCCAGTTCCACTCCTGTAAGGATGTATTTTGTCAAGCCCCAGAAAGGACCAGGGAAAGGAGAAACCAGCTTGTCTTTATGTATTAAATATGAATTATTAAAAGCAGCATATCAAATGCAGGAACTCACCTCCAGATAAGAGACAGCGACATCACGTATTTTATCTTCTTTTATTTGATCCATGCGGTTATAGAGTGTCATCATGGTTAAGTACATCACTCCAGGGTCTTGGGGAGAACCCAACATCGTGTGAGTCTTTCCAGCTCCCGTTGCACCATATGCAAGCACTGAGTTTACACAAGAAAACCAAAGCAAGAATATGCAGTTTATACCAGTAAGCTGATCAGAAACACATAAGTCAAATGAACATTCACAGACCTGTCATTTTGAACAGCTGTTTCCACAAACTGATCAAGTTTCTTACTTAGACTTCACCTTTTACGGTTGTAACCAGAGAGCTATTTCAAAGTAACATTTTTGAATTTTCAGTTCAAAATTTACATGAAAATATTATTTACTTCCTCTCGTAACCCTACACCATCAACTTATTGCTAAAAGACATTTAATTTCCTCATCACGTTCCATCTGCCAATTAAAAAAGCCCAAGCTCATTAAGAGTTCATAAAGCAGGGTACCACTTTCAGTGGCACAACTGCTTCTGCTTGAATAACTGCAGAGGGGTTATTATGTCGTTAGCACACATATTTCAGATAAAATTCCAAAGTTTTATATAACCCTAACACAAAATTACCTTCAAAATAGTAGAGCTATCCTAACTTCCATATACTAAAAGGTCATCCCCTCATATATATTAATTAAAACACAATGCTTTTACTTCTATCTCAGGTTTTTTTTTTAATGCCCTTGCAGCAGCTGCATGCAATGGTAGAAACTTTGAAGTTTTTTAATTAAAGAAAATAAATAGCAAAGTTACCTGTGCAGTTATATCCATTTAAAAAGTCCTTAATCAGAGTTTTGGTAGTATGCTCAAAAACTTCCAACTGGGACGACATTTCATCAAAAACAGCATCGAACATAAATTTAAGATCTTTCCTTTGTCTTTTGTTAATATCCCTGTGGGTCAGCCTCTTCCCCTTAAAGAAACTAACTTCTTCCTCCTTTGGATCGAAGACCAACACGTGCTGGTCAATAACGTGGACAACCCTGCTAAAGTTCTTCTGTTTTTCCTTTTGGGTCTCCGGGCGGACACGGACCACCACTTTCACGTGATTGCGAACCTCATCTTCCTTAGCGGCGGTCATGCCTTCTGGCCCCCAGCTTCGCCTCCCAAGGCTCTTTCAGGCTGCACAGCCGAACCTCCTCTGCAATTGACAACACAGGGCGAAAGGCATCATATTTCGGATAAAACCTTTCGGGCAGCTCACACGTTTAATTAGGACTAACAGCCGGCACCTCCGCTGGATCCACCCATCGTTTGCCAGCTAGCTACAATGGACCGCTGCAAGGGCAGTGCAACTCGGGAAGCGCTGGAACTGGCCTGAAAAGATGATTTAATCCAGCGCAGCTTTAAGAAACCCAGCCAGCGCTACCCCCGTAAATTCCTAAATTCGATTTAACAACTTAAAACGTCCTTTATGTCAGAGCAAGCCTGCAGGTGAACTTCCACGTTCCTGCAGACCAACGCGGGTGGTTTCCTTGTCCTTCAGCAGAAGGCAGAGCAGCCGCCCGTGCTGCCTTTCGCTGGGTTATTGATTTACTCACGCTGCACGTGGGTTTTAACGGGAGTTACAGCGGGGTTTGGGTTAACGCCGCTTGCATGGGATACAGCGACCGATCACAACCCGCAATTTCCTTTAAATGGCCCTTCCTCGCCGGTTCGTTCCCCTAAGAGCGGACAGCGCTAAAGGCTCTCGGTGACGCCTTTTGCCGCTCCAGGGCGAGCTCAGCTGAGCCACAACCGAGTCACGGCCGCGGAGCGAGGGAGCGGCCGGGGAAGGGGAGCTCCCTTCGGCACCGCACACACCGCACACGCCGCTGCTGGGGCACGGCGGCGGCCCCGGCCCCGCAGAGACAGCGAGCCGGGACTGGCCCGCGGACCGCGCCCGGCCCCGGCACTCTCACCCCCCGGGCCGTGCCCGTGCCTCACCCCCAGCACTGCTGCCCATGCCCGGGATTCACCCCCGGCACCGCTGCCCTCCCCCGGCACCGCTGCCCTCCCCCGGCACCGCTGCCCTCCCCCGGCACCGCTGCCCTCCCCCGGCACCGCTGCCCTCCCCCGGCACCGCTGCCCACCCCCGGCCCGCACCCATCCCCAACACTCACTCCCGGCACCGTTCCCATCCCCGGGACTCACCCCCGGCACTCTCACCCCCCGTTCCCATCCCCGGCACTCACTCCCGGCACCGTTCCCATCCCCGGCACTCACTCCCGGCACCGTTCCCATCCCCAACACTCACCCCCGGCACCGTTCCCATCCCCAACACTCACCCCCGGCACTCTCACCTCCCGTTCCCATCCCCGGGACTCCCTCCCAGCCCGTTCCCTCCCCCGTGCCCATCCCCGCTCCAACCGCCGCGCCCGCACGATTCAAACCCGCGGCCGCCCCCACGATCCGAACCCCGCCCGCACGACCCGAACCCCGCCCGCCCGATCCGAACCCCGCCCGCACGATCCGAACCCCGCCCGCACGATCCGAACCCCGCCCGCACGATCCGAACCCCGCCCGCGCTCCGCGCCTCCCCACTGCGGTCACGGGGGAGCAGCCGGGGGGCTGGCGCTTTCCGCCTTCACCTTCTCGCTCGGTGCGAGCCCCGCTCCACCTCCAGCTGTGGCCGTAATAAAAGTACGCGCTCGCTCTCTCTGCTCGCTTCGGAGGAACGGAATGCTCGCGGTCTGACTGATGGAGCGGGGCTGCCCGCAGGCGAAGCGTGTCCCCCCCGGCGAGAGCAGGCTGGGCTGGCAGCCCCGCGGGTCGGGGGAGGAGGAGGAGGATGGTGGTGCTGCCCCTCCCGCGGGATCCGTGAGGGCGGGGGAAGGGTGAAAACAGAATAACTCGTGGGTTGGGATAGAGGCAGTTTGATAGGGAAAGGGAAGGCTGTGCGCACAAGCAAAGCAAAGCGAGGGATCCATTCGCCGAGGGCCGGCAGGTGCTCAGCCCTCTCCAGGAGAGCAGCGCCCCTTCTCGCACAACAGAGAAGAGAGAGCATCACTTCAAACCTATCCTCCTTCTCCTCTTCCCCCTCCTCCTTTATAAATTCAGCATGATATTATATGGTCTGGAGTATCCCCTTGGCCAGTTTGGGTCATCTGCACCAGCTGTGTCTCTCCCCTGCTGTGTTCAGCACAAATCCAAAGCTCAGCCCCACACCAGCCCCTGGGAAGAAAATTAACTGTGCCCCGGCCAAAACCAGCACAGCATCCCATGGTGATGTGTGTGTTTGGTGCAGGTCCCTGAATCCTCCACACACTGCGACAAAGTGAGATCCACCGTCTAAGGGTTGGACTCGATGATCTCAGAGGTCCTTCCCAATCTAAATGAATCTATGATTCTTCCTGTGGCATCTCCCTGGAGATCTGATCTGTCCATTAGGGAGGGATTGATAACCAAATGTTTATTTAGGTTGGCCAGGGAGGAGGCAAAAACCACACAGAACAGGAGCTATGAACCCTGTCATGACTCTTCCACTGATACATAACAGAAAAAGAGTCAGGGAAGGAAGAGGCTTTGTGCTTGGTAGAACAAGCACAAAATTTCACACCTTCAAATGCAATTTTTTTTCTAAGTGCTAACCAAGTCTTATAGCTCCAATAAAAGATTTATTTAAACTATCAGAGCTTACTGAAAATGTACTACTTCTTTAACCCTGCTTTCAATAAAGAGGTCTTTGGCATGTAAAATCAAAATAATGTTTCTTAAAGTTTATTAAAATTTTTCATTTTTATTTTATTTTCTAAATGAAAACTTGTCAAAAAATGACATATTCATGCATGCGCTTCCATTGTTGTCCTCTCAATTCTGTGCCTAGTTTTGTTGACCAGAGCTCAGAGAACAGTCTTTCCCAGTTTCAGAGGCATAAGCAGTGGAAATAAGTTAAGGGGACCATGTGTGGTGCAGGAAAGGTCTCATCTTCACCAACTAAAATGTACTTCATCTACAGACATGCTGTATTTGTTCAAAATGTAGCACTGATGTTCTGAACTGTGAAACTTCCTTCCTGATAGGCTCTTTGTCCATGGACTACTTCACCCCTCACTTTCTCTTGGACACAGAGGTCCACTAAAGGCAGTGAGAATGGCTATCTTCCCAGGGCTGCCTGCCTGCCCAGAAATGATACTGCCAGGAGATTCACGTGAAAGCACGTCCTTATGGAATTTCTAACCCACTTTTACAGACTTGTTTGCTCAAGCTTCCAAATTCCAGTGCATCAGTCTGCACCGAACTACTGCAATTCTGAGGTTGACCTGGTATCCTTTACCCGATTTCACCTTTCTGATAGGTTATTCATTTAATTCTTTATGCATTACTACAAACCATCCTGAAACACTGAGGAAAAATACTTTTTGATATCCATTCTGTCCCCAGAGAAATTGTTCCCTAAGCAGAAAACCATCCTCTTTGTCAAAGAGAATACTCTTTAGGTGCTACAGAGCAAAGAGCAGTTCGGACGCTGAATGACAGAGAAACATGGTAGTGAATTGGTGCATTGGAATGCTTTGGCCTCACAGTTTTTGTTCCAATTTCTTTATGATCCAAACAGGCTGGAGTTCATGTGTCAAGCCAAAAGCAGACCTAATAATACAATAATATATATATTTTTTTAAAGTCTTCTTTTTGTCTAAAACAGTAAGGAAATATATTCAAGTTTGATAAATATGTAACATTTCTAATTTCTTGACTTCCTTGTTCCTGACACAGTATATTAATAATAATTATTGTAGTTTCCTCCTATAGTAAAAACTTCATTTTTTATCAAAACAATAGTGTCACCAACAAAGAACAAATAGTATTCTGGTGGCATCTAAAACAAGCTTTAATAGCATTATGTGTATTTTAACACCTATCTAATGACCTGAATTTGGAGATTTAAGGGCTGTGGCAGGATTTGGATTCATCTGTTTTGTATGGAGAGTGATGCCATGCATTTAGTTGGATCCCAGGCATTGAGCACAGCAGACCTCTGCCCTGGATATTAGTTTTGAGTGGTCATTGAACAGTGTGTTGCATGAGCCAAAAAGCAGAAAAATAGGTTGACATGTGGACAGACAGACTTGATTAGTTCCATATGAAATGCCCTGGAAACCAGGAGAGTAAGTGGAGGCAAATAAAACAGCACTTCATTCTGGGGAAATTGTGTCACACAACAACCACTGTTTGAAGTGAAATACCACAGGGAGCTAGCTTGAGCCCTGCTTATCTAGGGGTTGTTGTAGGTTGTACCTTATCACAAATCACCTGATGTACAGAATCACAGACTGGTTGAGGTGGGAAGGGACCTCTGGAGATCATCTGGTCCAACTCACCTGCTCAGGCAGGGCCCACTACAGCCAACTGTCCAAGGCTGTGTCCAGTCAGACTTGGAATATCCCTGCGTCTTAGGAAAAGCACCTTTGAACTGCAATGACTTCAGAGATGCCAGGTCCCACCGGGTTTGCAGCTCAGCAGGTGGACAAGGTACCACTGATCAGCCAGTTACCAGCAACTCTCAGCTCCTGCTAAGTTTCAGTCTATAGAATAAAGTTTTAGTTTGGGAAAGAAAAGTTAAATCCAGCATTTATTACCAGTCACTGCTCTTGATCCCAAACTCCTCCAAAATTTGGAATTTAAACTCAGGATGTGCCTATTTCACAAAATTGTTCTCTCAGCAGCATCTATCCAACTCATTTTTCTCTGACTAGCTCAGATGAAAGATGTTATCTTTCTTGTATTATCCCTTCTTTTTCTAATTTGATTGGCACAAGACAGTGGTTATGTACCTGAAGATCTTGATTCTGCTAGTGGCACCACAGGGAGTGTCAAGATCAGTGGGAGAGAATTTTAAAGAATCATGGAATGGTTTGGATTGGAAGGGACCTCAACAATCACATAGTTCCAACCCCTGTGCTATGGGCAGGAACACCTTCCATTTGACCAGATTCAGGGTCCAATCCCACTCACTGACTTTGAACACTTCCAGGGATGAGGCATCCACAGCTTCTCCAGGCAACTGTTCCAGTGCCTTACCACCTTCACAGTAAAGAGTTTCTTCCATATATTTAACCTAAATTTTCCCTCTTTCAGTTACCATCTGTTAATTTTTCATTAACTTTTTTCAATTCTCAAGGAGTGCTAAAAAACTGTCACTAATAAAACTGTGTGGAATCAAATCGAAGTAATCAGGCTGAAGTGAAAATTTGAATTTATTCCCTTGTTTTTCTCTGGCATGATTAGTTCTTTGTAAATCTCATTTTTTTGTTTTGAAACTACAGCTGGTGTAACATGTCTATAAAGGTAAAGCTTGTATTAGTTTGCCACCTGTGAGCATATAAAATAAAAACTAAGTCAGAATAAACTTATGCTGGAGGAAGCATTGAATGGAGTGATTGTGGAGCTTTGTAGTTTTTATAATAAATATTTTGCTTTAGCACTCTCTCTTGGACACAAAGCAGTAGTGCTGGTGTTTATTTTTAAAGGCTTAGTTAAAGCTGGAAAGCTGCAATGCGTCCAGGAGAAGTCCCTGGCTGCAGTCACAGATACAATTTAGTTATGTGGCTTGGTATTCTATAAATTGACTTAAATAGAATTTTCCTATCACTCTTATGCTTATCATCTTTACACAAATAGTCTGTGTCGTTCACTTAAGTCTGCCAAGAGCTGGGAAAAGATTGACAGCTCCAAAGCAAATACCGAAGGCGAGTTGTTACAAAAGACCACAGTTAGATGCGCTGTTCTCTCCTTACATCAGCAGTATTTAGTGTTAGGATAGCATATGGAGGCCCCAGTTTGGGATCATGGCCTTGCCGTGTTGAGACCTACACCAAAGAGTTCACAGTGTGATGCGTACAGGTGGAGTGCAGATGGAAAAGGGTGGGACAAAGCTGTTCTCTGTGCTCCTGCCCCAGGAAAGAGAAGTGTGTTAATGCCAAAAAGGAGGTCAGCAGGGTGAGGGACACTGAGTACATTCTGAATAGCAGAAAGGCCCACAGTTTGCACCTTCTGCATGAACTATCACCACCTGGCCAGCTTCTGCGATACACGATAGGCAGTCAAGCTCCTATGTGTTGTTTTGGCTCCAGTAGTTGGTATGGG